GGTCACCAGGTTTTGAGCTTTAGCCATGAGAGTTGCATTAAGTTCATGGTTGTGTGTAGTGAATTGATGCTTAATAATCATATTGGTAGTTACACCACATGTTTTTAATAAATTTTGTGATTGAAGTCTGTTATTAAACACACCAAAATAAAATTTATAATTTTAGTTCCAAATTGCATAACCTAAGGTAAAAATATAGAGACAAGTTTCCTAAAATAGTGAAGATTTCATGGAGAGGGAATCCATCAAAGCTAAGAAATAATCATTCCCCCCCCCCCCAAAAAAAAAAAATGTAATTAGNAAATTTCAACAATTTCAGTTCAATTGTTACAACTTTGATCAAGACATAAAAAGTACATCCTAAGAAATGAGATTAGAAATATAATTTTCATAATCATATAACATATATTTTTGGTCTCAATTCCTTTAATTTAAGGAAAACATTTTAATTTAACTCATCATTTTGGGTAAAAATAAGGTAAATATTTTGAATAAGAGGTGAAAACAATCTACCATGACAAATAATTTTAATAAAATGTTTCTGATGGTCAATTGAGCTAATACAAAAAAAAAAAAAANAAAAAAAAAAAAAAAAAAAAAAAATTCAACTATATTTTTGGACTGCATTTCTTAATTACTGGTTACATTTAAAACTTTTGTTACATTTAAAAGAATAAAGTTTTTTTTTTAAATAAAAATGCAAAAAAATTGCCAAAGGAAGTAAAATTTTAAATTATATAAAAACAGGAAGACTGAAAAAGAATTTAGATTGGTCATTTTATTCAACTATATCACTATATAAAATTATTTTGAAAAAAGCAGTAAAGAATATTTGCAGAATTCTAATGCAAAGAGTGTTAATTTAAACCTCTTAGGCTTTGATCGAACTGCTGCAGAATTTTTAAAGTTTTTGCTATCAGATAAACAACACTAAATATGTATAATGGTTATTAAACAACAAATTATTTTACATTATTATTTATATATGGTACAATTTGACGGTTTCATGGAGCTTTTATTTACAAATACTAGTATCTTTTTACATTTATCAGTCAATTTTAAACATCAAATAATTTAGATACATTTCTTTCCTTTTTGTTATTTTAGATACGACTTTTAATATTGATAAAATCAAAATTTAAAAAAACTTAACAACACTGTGAATATAGGGATAAATTCTGCATTAAAAAATTTTTTTTTCTCAAATGAATGTCTCAAGAAAAAAAAGAATCATGCCAATCCTGAATAAAACTGAAGTTATATAATCGAAACTATCGAAAATAGATAAACTTTTTTTAAACATTTTCTTAATCAGATGGAATGAAAAAAAAGGTAAAAAAGTCATCTGCAAAAGCACTGGTAATACAATTCTATTCTACCATTTAGCAAAACTATAAAACATCAGTCATTATTAGACAATTGTGTTTCTTTTAAAAACTGATATTTTAAAATTGAAGCAATAATCAACATTTATAGACTGCATGTTTTAATATTAATTGATATTAATAAAAAACAAAGGCTTTCAAACTGAAGGTATTCAAATTATAATTTGACATAATTAAATTTAACCTATCTTATATAAAAGGGTTTTAATAATCTTAGTTGGACGAAAATAAAAGTATTATTCGAATTTCAAAAGCGCAAACAGAATAATCATAAATTTTTAATATATTCAATTAAATGCTACTGCTTTAATGTCACTTATTTTGAAGGATATACTTATACAAAAATCTTCTATATTACATTTAAAAATTTTTAATACTTTCAAATAATTTTTTATAATCATAAACATGGTTAATTTGAAAAACCAAGGGCTGGAGGCACAAAAATCACACAGTGTGTACTCAGTGCCATTATTTCAAAGGAAGTGTGTATACCTTGTTTATGTAGAAAATTTCTTTTAATAGGGTGCAGTAGGAATGTATGCAGGAGCATGGCGTACTGTAGTTTGATTGTTTTCGTTATGATAATCATAAATTAAATTTTTTTTATTAATGCAAAATTTCTTAAATTTTTTCTAATATTCATCTATATAATATAATTTATATATAATAAAATTTAAATGGGCAAAAAATTAATAAATGTATGTGTATGCATAAGGTAACAACTCTTTATTATAATAAACTTTAAATTTTGTTATAAAATTAACGAATAAATAAAAAGAGTGAAACCACTGTAACCAGGTTCTAGTTAAAATTAGTTGCAGTTAAAATAAATTGCAAAAGTTCAACATGCTATTTTCAGAAGAAAGATCATATTTATAAAATTTGTAAATTTTAGTTCTCTGAAATTGCGAAATGTGCCATCACAATACTGCTTTTTGAATAATTAAAATACTCAAAAGTAAAGCTATATTTTTTATTTAAATTATCCGTACTCAAAACTCTAGTTGATGCTTTTGAAAAAAAAATGCTTGCAAATTTTAAAATTCTTTTGAGAAATTCCAGTTATGTCCTAAGTGCCATCAACACTTAATACACAAAAAGTGAATTTAACACTTTAATCGTTATATATATATTTTTTTAAAAATTATTAATAATAGATCATTAATTAACAGGATCATCTATTTTATTTGATAATAATAATTTCCAAATAATGCAAGATTGAAATTGATTTTTTGTGAACGTATTCACATTAAATACAATTTTTTTAAACTTCCGATTCTTGAGAAAACAAAAAAATATTGAGCTCTTATTCGCTTAGAAAATATAACGATTTTGATAGAAATATTTTAGTAGCGTATAAATATTAGTAAAACTAACTAGCAGATAATTTTATTTTGAGACATTTGCCAGAAATGTCATCAGAGTATGTAGATTAAATTATTCTTATGTCTCTAAAGTTTTAACATAAGAAATACGATGCTTTAACACCTTTGCATCTAGATTTTCAACGATTTTTCTTTGGTTCAGCTTTCAAGTTTATTTCGAATTTAAATGTAAAGAAACAACATGAATGGAAGCTACGTGATATCAATGTAAACATTAAAATTGCTGATGCTAGTCGCTAAATCCTGAATAACTCTCTTTCAAGCGCGTTCGTAAACAACTGAAAAAACAAAATATTCTGATTTTCGATGCTGGAAAAATTATTAATTAGTGACTTTTCTCCCGAACAGTTAAACAAATTAAATACTGAATAAAATGTTTTAAAACTGCTATTGGAATAAAGCTAACAATCTGTATTAATACCTAAAACAAAAAGAATTTGCAATTAATGAGAATATAAATAAGTATTTTGTGCTTTTTTTCGCAAATTGTCCTCACTAGCGGTAAATTCACATTTCTCATAGCCTTGTAGCGCCATCTAATTTCCAGAACCAGAACTACAAAATCAAATGTAACAAAACTTTTATATGCTTTTAAAAATAATTCACAACCTAATTTTCCAAAAATAAACATTTTAGGTTCTGACTAACAAGATTCTTAAATGTCGTGAAAAATTTCGAGACCCTTAGTACGCTATTTAATCTGTGTAACTGTTCGGCGGTTTTTAACATTACAGGTATACGGCTTTAGGACCACCTTAAGGTCGCTATATATGGCGAAATGCTCAAAAAGTAAAATTGCGGCTACCCGCTATAATTTAAAGTTCAGAAATCCAAATTGGTCGAAAAAAGGTATGTTTATACAGAGAAAGAGTGTTTTTGTGATTGATTTCGTAACTTAAAATATTATCTGCTTTAATTAGTATATTAAGGGTCACTCTATTTAAGGATGTAATTTCTTTAATAACCGCTGCTGAACAGCCGACCCAATTCTGGGTTTACGACTACCAATGTTCACCTCCGTATCCTTGTAATTTTGATCCCAATCCAAAAGACAAGGTAGCTCCTGGATCAGTACCGCCAGAGGTTTTGATTTTTTTAAAATGGGAACTTGGTGACCCCGACATATTTAACGTGCATCAGTCACTACACTCGGAGTCTTTGGCAGGCAGGGATCGAACCCATGACCTCTTGGACATTGGCCCAGTGCCCTACCAACCAAGCTTATGGGAATGTGAATGCATTTTGCGTAGAAAATTTCAAGTATGCAACTTCTTCCTGCAGAACATAAAGAAGTCTTCAATAGATTTATAAACGAACAAAGTACTTCTAATACTGATCGACATGTTCAATTCATAATTCATTTGAAAGAAAAATTCCAGACAGAAAAATTCAAAAGTTTGGAACCAATAATTAAAACAACTGAAGTCAGTAATTGTCTAATATAAAATGTAAGGAAATATTTAATTGCATACACGATATTTTAACCTATATATAGTATTTTATTTATTCTCAGTAATGTTTCAATTGAAATCCCAATAATTTCAACAATTCCAAGTTTTGAATTTATTTCTGTTAAAATTCAATTTAAAAGTTATAAAACTTGCACATCCGAATTCAAAGCTTTGTAACTCGACATTATACATAGCAATCTCAATTACTGTTTGTTACTAATTGAATTGATATCCATGCTGGTTCGTTTGATAACAAGTGAATAAAATACTAAGGGCTCAAATTGAATTTTATTTTCATTGGTGATACAAGCACGCTCAAGCTATAGATCAACAACAAAATTTCAATTGTTGTAGACTTAAAAAAAAAAAAAAAAAAAAGAAAGANAAAAAAAAAAAAAAAAAACGGCGAGCGGCTACGATGCCAAATTGGTGTGATATTTATAATATATTGAACAAATCCCAAAAGCAGATACATATTTAATAATATAATGCACTAAATCTTGCAAGATATCATCAATATAATTTGGCAGCATATAGATTATCAGTGTTGTTCCAAATCTTAAAAAATTACATAATACACAGTATATGCATATTCATACGCTTTAATATTTCTTTTTTTGTGTGTTTAATTACTGTGAGTTTGTTGGAAGCCGAATATTCGGTATTTGGACTAATCACTGTTTTTAACAGTTTAATTACATTATTTAGTTTTCCTACCTTTTACATAAACTGCAAAAATACTTCCTAGCACAATAAAAACAACAGACTATATCACTATCTAATGTAAAAAACTTTTATTTCATCCATTACAAGAGTAAAGTTACTTGGCAGTAAAAACAAAACTATTGACAGCAGGGTTGCAAAAAACCCGGGTTTTTGTAGAAAAACCCAACCTGGGTGGGTTTTATTGGGCTTTTCATGTTTTTATGGGGGTTTTTTCGAAAGAGAGGGCAGGTATAAGTATCTTATTTTAATATTAATAATTAAGTTTAATTTTATAAATTGACTTCATATAGATAATTAATACAAATAAATTGATGTGAAAGTATGAAAAAAGTTTCTTCTGACATCATGATGCAAAATGTTATATGTACTCATATACATCACACATTTGAAACTTATTTTAATACAGAATTTCTTTTTATTTAGATTTTAATCATAAAAAATATTTGAGGAAAATTTTTTATTTGCATAGAAAGCGAATCAATGGCACTGACTAATCAATGACCATACAGTTAAATCTAGCCAGCAAAGTGACTCTCCAGTCTCCAACACAGTTTCTTCACCATATGTTAATTTTTTTTAGGCTAAACTACATAAATATTTCAATAGAATAGCTCTTTAATATAACAGAGGACAAAAAAAGAAATCAATCTTAGAAAAATCCACTTTAGGGTGGGTTTACCCAGTAAAATTCGGGCGGGTTTTATTGGGCAGGTGGGTTTTTTGCAACCCTGATTGACAGTTAACAAAAACCTTCGTGGAAAAAATAAAAACTTTTTAAAACAATCCACAATAATAAGGTTTCTCACCAGTATGAGTGTGATCACATATAATTATATATTAATATTGCAAAAACTTTGATTACATTTACTAAAAGAATAAAGGTTTCCACCAGCATGAAAGCTAGTCAGATGTTTTGATCTTGAAAAACTAATATGACATACAACACAAAAATATTGTTTCTTTTCCGTATGAACAAGATTGTGTTCAGTTAGATGAACGATACGATAGTGTATAGTTAGATATTGCTTGTCTGAAAACTTTATTTCATACATTACAAGAATTAAGTTTTTCACCAGCATGAGTGCGACTGTGCTTAGTTAGGCAGTGCTTTTCTGAAAAACTTCTATTACACACATTGCAAGAATACGGTTTTTCAGCAGTATGAATGCGACTGTGCCTAGTTAAATGTCCTGTTCTTGAAAAACTTTTATTACATACACTACAGGAATAAGGTTTCTCCCCGGTATGAATGCGATAGTGAATAGCTAGATATTGCTTATGTGAAAATTTTTTATTACACACACCACAAGAATAAAGTTTTTCACCAGTATGAGTGCGATAGTGTACAGTTAGATATTGCTTAAGTGAAAAACTTTTATTACATTTACTACAAGAATAAGGTTTATCACCAGTATGAGTGCTACTGTGCTTAGTCAGATAGCTCTTATCTGAAAAACTTCTATTACACACACTACAAGAATAAGGTTTTACACCAGTATAACTGCGACTGTGTTGAGTTAGATGTCCTAATTTTGAAAAACGTTTATTACATACACTACAAGAATAAGGTTTCTCCCCTGTATGAATGCGATAGTGCATAGTTAGACATTGCTTATATGAAAAACTTTTATTACATACATTACAAGAATAACGTTTTTCACCAGTATGAGTGCGATAGTGTAAAGTTAGATATTGCTTACGTGAAAAACTTTTATTACATACACTACAGGAATAAGGTTTTATACCAGTATGAGTGCTACTGTGCTTAGTTAGATAGTTCTTATCCGAAAAACTTTTATTACACACACTACAAGAATATGGTTTTTCAGCAGCATGAGTGTGACTGTGCCTAATTAGATTATTATTTTTAGAAAAACTTTTATTACATACACGACAAGAATAAGGTTTCCCATCAACATGAATGTTAAGTGACTCTCTGTCTTCTAAGCTCATACTAACTGCATTCCTTTATCAACTTTTGTACAGCTTAATAACCTTATTGAAGACTTATTAATAACCTTATTGAAGATATACATAAACTGTAATAAAAAATTTACAAAACTAATGCTTTTTTTATTGATTTAGTTTTTATGAGTTAGTTTAGTTTTTTTTTATTGATGAAAGCAAATACTACTAAACATTAGATTAAAAAACCATGAAAGTTGAATTTAAGTTGTTAGCAATAATTAAGAGAAGTAATGAAGTTATTAACAATTCAGCAAAGTTATACAATAAAATGAATGAATGAATAACATGTAAGCATTATATTAAAATTTTATGTAATATTATTATAGCCAACCTTTAAATTAAAAAGCCTATTTGCAATATTATACAGTGGCCGTAGAAAGTAATTTTAAGATGGTAGACAACATTTCCATGGCTATTCTAATTACATACACTTATTGAACACTGGGCAGTGTATCCAACTTAGAAGGGCAGCCCTGAAAAAAATAATAATAATATGCAATTTTTGTATAATGTATAGCATATTTTAGAACATGAAATATTTTTTTATCAACATCGCAGACAATTTTTTTCAGACTTTTTTGGAGGATTTTAAATTGTTCAAAGTGGTTTCAAAATTCATGTTTTCTTATTACTCCTTGAATTTATAAAGATTTTGATTTTAACTACATATGAATTTGCAATACAGATATAAAAGTGTATGATATCATACAATGGTTAAGTTTAAGCAAGGAAAAAATACAATTTGCATACAAAGAATTTAGATTTTAACTTTACCACCAACTGAATAAGTTTTCAGTGGCATATTTATGGAGAATGGAAAGAGACATATGTAGATTTTTCTCTAAATTCAAATATTCTAAAACCTAAGAAAGATTTTTTGTACCTTATTATGCTCAAATTTTTCATAATTAAAAGAAGAAAAAAAAGTTTTCTGTAAACCTATCCCTGATAAAAAGAATAAAAAATATATATATTCTGACATTAAAAAAGTGTTTCGGCCTATATATATTCTTCTAGAATATCCATAAATTTTTAAAATTTTAGCATCCTCGCCTGTTACAATCTGCACTGACGAGAGACCAATTTCAATTTTGGAATATTTAACACTAGATTGACCAAGGAAGTAATTTTGACTGTCTTTTAATTTCAATTAGAAAAACAATGATGTATATAATGACACTATTTCTTAGAATTTTGTGACTTTTTGCACAATATATAATTTTTTATATAGTTAATATTTACTAATAACTTGTCACATAACTGTAAATAATATAAAATGAATTTTAAACAAATTTCTTTACACATTAATTATTCTTTCCCAATCCAGTTGTTTTGATTGTTTTTTGGGCAATATAGGTGTATACTAAGTTTGTCTTTCTAGTGTTAAAAAAATACTTAAGAAATAGTACAAGTTAAATGTGCCTAAACAGACTCTGTTATGTATATATAAACATATGTAAGTGAAATATTTTGCAAAATTAGATAAGGAAACTGAATATAACTTTGTGTGCAGTACTTTTTAATAATTTCGTCAATCACTAAATGATTTTTTTCAATAAGATGTGGGATTTCACAAATGCTGGTGAGTAGATAATCTTGCCCATCATATCAAGCTGCGGGCGTATCTTTTTTTCCACACCAGCGAAGAGGATCATTGCTATGAAGAAATTGTTTTATTTTTTAGATTTTAAATTTGGACCACTTAAAATAATGCTATGTCACAGAAAGATGACACCAAACACCAATTTATTTGAATATCATAAAAATTGTCCAAACTCTGTTTCTTGTTCATATTTTAACTCCATTCTCTTATTTTTTTCCTTACCTACACGACCATTAGATATTCAAAATGTTGTAGTTATTGTTTTTAAATTCTAATAATATAACATAAATTACATATCTCTATCCACAGCAGCTATATTATTTTTTTAAGAATGATTAAATAACTCATAAATAGCTGGTTTTTTTAAAAAGAAAACATTGTCTAAAACATCTATCATTGCCGGAAATATTTGTTGGTGTTCATTTTTGCATGCATCATTCTGTACAGAATATCCAATATCAGTTTGAATCATTCTTAACTTCAGTCATATTTTATCCTATATTTGAACTGGTCTTTATCTGTTCTGTTGAAAATTTGCCTCTACTCTTCACTCTGAAGTACATCTATTCTCATGCACTTCTATCAATAAGTCATCTTTTTAAAAACTCATTGCTTATGGCTAATGTATTGCACGCTATAGCTCTTATGACCTCAATTGTAGCTTTATTTATGAGATTTATCTATCACTTGCTTACCTTTCACAATTTCTTCATAGTTAGTTGGAATTATATAGATTTAAGTGTAAATTCTTTCTTTAAGGTAAGCAACTTTTTTTGGTATTATTTTCACTGTGCCAAGATATGTTTCAAGTTATTTTAAATAAATCTGTTTATTTTTTCCTTTTTTTTTTTAGCTTATTGGTGATTAACAAAGACTAAGTCACTTGAATGTGCAGTGATTAGTTTCCTTGATATTTTTCCTACTCTATATTGAAAGGAAAAAAAAACTATTTTGAAAAGTTTTCCATCAAGAATCTGCCATTCATTTTTCTTCTTGTCTATCATTAGTCATTACTATTTATACAATTTCTAACATTTTTCTTCTTCTTCTTTCAATTATAAGGTGTGATGATCTGGCAACAATCATATGCATTCCTAATATCAATTAATCCTTTCGCTAAACTACTTATCATATTATCCCCAGTATTTTTTGCTCTTATTATAACACATTTTAAAATGTCAACATTAGTTGGGAACTATAATTTGTTAAAATTTAATTCCTCATCATTCCAGATTTATTTATCGGAAAATTTATATGTTATATATATATGTGTGTGTGTATGTCTGTGTAACATTAAAAGTTTCAACTAATCTTTTTATGTTATTCTTTTTTTGAAAATCTTTTTCCTAATTTATTATTCAAAATGAAATGCTCCGTCTCACACTTTAATATTCACATCCTGTCTTTTAATCTATTTTTAGTTCAAGTATGCATTAATTACCATTTTGGCAATTATCCTTTTAACTAATTTGTGTGAAAGACTATTTCCCTGGACCTATTTAATAGACCAATTACAATTAACCCTTATTCCCTAAAATGAAACATTTTACGGATTTACTTTGCAAGATTTTCAACCTTTATTGAGGAGCACAACGATTTTGTATCACTTTTGATAACTGCTCTCTGTCTAATAATTATTAAATAAATTTTATGTTTTCTTTCCCTGCTTAAGACCTGTTTTTATCCTTTTACTCAGCAACGAAGTTATATGTATATATATATTGTTGATAGAAATAAACAAAATAATCAAGATAGGGTGAGATTAATAGAAAATAAACATATCATAAATTTCTAGCATCTAGACAGCTCTTAACCACATTTGAATTCTCTAAATACATTTTCTAACATATTATATGTATATATTAATATACATATATTATAGATATATATTATATATATAGTTATGTGTAAATAATATAGTCAATTGTTGATAATAATTAAGTTGAAATATGGCCAATGATTTAATAATTATTATATTCATGAATGTATTTTATTCATTTTGATTGTTAGACCCTTTAATCAAACCCCAATTCCATGGCACTTTTATTTTTATCAACCCCTGTCAAGTTGAGATTTCTTAGCTAAATCATTTTGTTTTTAAGATTGAAAAGCAGCGCCACAGCCACTCCCTTCGACCAGAGATGATTTCACCCAGCGATCCGCATCCAATAGGCGGAGAACGTTAACAGCGCAGTCGAAAAAATTAGCGCGACAGACATTTTCCCTCTTCTTTCAGTCCTTCTAATTGCCTGCTACGTGTGATAGACAAAGAATGAGCCACAAGGGGGAATTTTCATTTCTCTCGGGAAAAACATTGTCAGATGAATACGTATCTATCTTAAATATGACATTTCTTTTTCCCCTTTAAATTTAATAAATGTGTTAGGAATTCATTCATTATTCCAATTTAATTCATTAGTCTTTTCACTTCATTTCAACTCGTAATCACTTAATTATCACGTGCTCAAGGTTTATCCCGCTTCATCTCACACACACCGACACTCTGGCTTAGATGAGAATTGATTGAAACTCCGATTAGGAAGCATGTTGTTCTTCATGTTTTCTGTGTTCATATGTTTGTAAATGTTTAAAATTTTAACCATGGTTTAAACCGTCACGTCAAAAACCTCACTGTCAAAAATGTCGAAAATGTCAAAAACCTATATTCATATGTGAAATTTAATTAATACATAAAATTTATATATTTTTTATAAAGGATAGTGTTTCTAAATATGTTCTAGAAAAAATAAATTTAAAATTTTGAAGAAACACTTATATTTTGAATAGTAACCAAAATCTTGTACTTTTGAAAGCTCACATCTTTTGTAATATTATGTATTCATTTTCATGTGTTATTGAAAATCTGCAGTGATATTATTAAGAAATTTATTTATAACCAAATTTAGTGTATAGTATAGATTATACTAAAAATTAGACATTTTTAAAGATAAACATTAGCAGTTTTGTACATTAGACATCTTTTAAAGAAAAATCTTTTTAATATTCTTTTAAATCTTCTTAATAATCTTTTTAACATAAGACAATACAAATTTAAGTGCTTTCTGTTAAATACACAGAGTAGTTAGTGTCGATTTACAGTATATTCAGCCTATTCATTTACTATGCTGAAAATTTAGTTTATCCAAATACTTGTGAATTTCATTTTGCTGAATACTATATAGTTTTGTTGAATATCTAAATATTCAGCTGTTGAATAATTACTTCTTGCTTTCAAGATATGCATTATTTGTATTCTTAATACAAGTGGAGAAAAAAAAATTAAGAGATAAAAATTGTTTTAAAATGATAAGTGTAATAATTATAAATAAATATAATAAACAATATGAATTATATTTATCATTATTCACAAATATAACTACTTTTAAATTCAAATTAACATACTGGATAATAAAGATATTCGGTATAACATTAAAAAAAATTTTTTATACACTTGTATCTTATATCAAGTTTGTATTTATACAACATAACTTGTAAGTTCCTTATAAATATTAGTTATATGTTCCTTATATGTCAAAAATGCATAGTAATAAACTTTTAATTTTCTTAAGTATCAAAAAAAAAATTTTTTTTTTTAAAATATAAATATTTAAAAAATTTTTGTGCAAAATTTTTCTGCACATGCATTTGAATATAAATTTCTGAGATTTTAAATCTGTTATTTTACCTTAATTTTAATTAAAAAATATTTTAAAACCTGCTGATTACCTATAGTATAATTAAATTTCAATATAATGCATGGCAACTGTTGGTAGTTTTGAAGTTTATATATTTTTTTGGCAAACTTTAGTTTTTGACATTTTTGAAGGTTTAAACCAGTATTATACCCTTGTCATGTCAAAAACCTCTTTTTGTTGTCAAAAACCCAACCCTGATTTAAATTATCAATTACTTTCTTAATGTTCTCTTTTTTTAATAAAACTGATTTATAATCTAACTTTAACTATCTTATTAATATAGAAAGAAATAAAATTAAGTTTTTCGCTTTCAATGCGGCAATACTTGGTAGTCTATATTCCGAAGGAAAAAAAAATTTTTAGAGAAAAATTAGTCAACTCTTTATGTGTTGATAAGTTTAAGTCCTTCTAATGAGATTTTTTACAGAGCATTAAAATGAAACAACAAAATACCCTTTTGTAACTTATCTCTCAGTTTTTCCGTTTATCATTACTAGGCAACAACCCACGATTATTTGATGTCGAACATTGTCTATTGACTCTTTGGTATGTTTATCGAGCATGTTATTTTATTATTCCACAATGACATTTTACAATTTTTTGCTTTCGATTTTGATCAACTTTTATTATTTTATTAATTCATAAACATTTTCAATTAGTTCTAAAACAAATTATGACACGTTAAACTTTAATTATCATTTTATAATGCACTAGTGTAGTAAGTCACATATTTAAAATTTTTAGAATAAATAGGAAATATTGAATAATAAAAAAATATTTGTGAAAATGTATAATTGACATTACTTAATTGGAAAAAAAAATTTTTTGCACAGTTTTGATAATTTCAAATAATTTGGTAAATAAGGAGTTAAATTTAAATATTGCTAATAATGAGTTGAAAATTATTAAAATATGATACCAACAGTTGAAAAGTAATATTTCGTTGTTATTAAAAAGAATTTACTTGACACAGATTAAGGAATAGTACAAGGAAATGTAACAGTATCAGTTCCCACTAGCTACAGCAGTTATAGCGTCAAAGAGGTTTTAAACTTGCCAAAATTATTTTTATGAAAATGTGAGGTTTACTTGCACATGAATTTAACCCTTTGAATATGCCTCATTCTGGGATAATTGTTATAATTTCTTGTTAGTCACGGCCCAGAAGTCATCAAAAGTTTGCGATCATTTTTGTGTATAGAAATTGATACGAAACCTACTTGAGTTCTGCGTTATACGAATTTAAAACAATGATTTGAAATAAAGAATCACAATTATTTTATACAGCAAATAATTATTGCCAGTAAAAACAAAGAAAAATTAGAAAGTATAAGTTAAAATATGTGTCTATGTTTTATCCAATGAGATTTACATATCATGATCTGTGGCAGAAAAATCACCGCATATTGGTAACTTCCGGAAAGCGGCCCGCAAGAAACTAAAAAAAAACTTCACAGAAAGAGACCAACTCGAAAGGTATAAGTATTAGCCAAACCGAGCAGACATCTGCATGTTTCATTTTAAAAAATTGCAAGTTTAAAATCTATTGGGCACCTTGGCGATTGCAGTTGGCGCGACAGGTCAAGATACGGAAATATCTCCTTTTATCGGAACTTTTGGTTTGCATGGCGCAAGCGAAAAATCGCCAAAAAATTTAGACAAACATCGACTTTTTTATAAATTTATTTTTTTAATCGCATCAAACTAAATAAAATAATATTAAAAAAGAAACCAGAGTTTACACCCTACAAACCAAGAAATACCGTTTTATAGTATGGTAACTAATGACTTTTTATTTATTGGCATGTGATGACACATTTTTCGATTTCCATCAATGAGATAGTAATAAACACTTTTTGTCGGGGGGGGAGATTTAACCAACTGCATAGTATTTAAATGTTAGAAGAGAAAAGCATAATTAATGTACCTAATTACTTATGCAACATGAATCCTATCCACTTTTACAAAGAATTTGTTTCCTTCTTTTACCTCCTTCCAATGATAATCAAGCTTTCTTTCAATATAAAGAAGATAACGTAATAAAATAATATCATCTTTAAAAAAAATAAATACTTTCTATGAATCCACTTCACATAATTTTAGGAAGAAAAAAAAACGAAAACTTTAACATTATTAAAACATAACACATTTAATCGGTTATATTTTTCGAATTAGAATTTGTTTACGTCTATTGCTATCCATTTCTACCCGCCTAGCACTTCGAAGATTGATCTGAGACTTGGTAATCATAGATGGCGTTTTGTTACTGCCACTCCTATTTATTGACTGTTATTTAAAAAAAAGTGTTGCAGATTCCCAGGGCGGGGCAATGTAGTTTTACATTTAGCAAGTGAAATAACTTAATGATTTTAGAGTGTATTTCCCTGATTTATCATGCGAATATAAAACGCTCTATAATTTTCGTTTCCCCACATAATGGAGAAGAACTAACGAAAATAAATATTCTCTTTATTCCCTATGGTACAAGATTGTTGTTGTTGTTAATTTACGTCACACTAGAGCTGCACAATAGACAGGGTTAGTCCTACGTCATCAACGACGTCACTAGCTCTCCTCGTTCCAAACAAAGTTCTGAACGGAGCAAACAATATGGCGTTTCTCATGTAGTTAAAAGTGGGTGAACTAAATCTTTGAATATATTAATATAGAGTCGAATTTAACCACTGACATGGCAAGAAAAAGTGTTGCATATATTAATATTACGTTAATCTCTTTTTATGATATTAATTGGAATAGCTTATTAATTGCAAATGATTATGAAAACTTTTTGTATATATGATTGAGAGAATTTGTATTTAATATTTACCATATAAATTGTATTTATAATCTGGAAATCGGAAATTTGTGAATTTTATTATTTGGAAAAAGTTATTTCTAATTTATGTTTAATTTTTCTTAAAATATGTATATTATATTAAATCAATTTTTTTTATAATATTGAGACAACTTATTAATTGTAAATAATTATGA